GTATTGTATTGTATTGTATTTTATTTTATTTTATTTTATTTTATTTTATTTTTTATTTTATTTTATTTTATTTTATTTTATTTTATTTTAATTTAATTTTTCTATTATTTCTGACATAAAACTATCAAATACCACATAAAGTATCGGCATTTCGATGAACTTGCGGGTTAGTTAGTATTTATACAAGGTGAATAATAAAAAGAGATCGATTGATTGGAAAATAAAAAAATTGGGTTGCATTAAGAAATAAAGTGTGAGTGCATCATCGGTGCATATACGCGAAAAATAAGGTCATAGGATGTCAGAACGTATTATGTCATATCATTCTTTTCTTTATTATTTTTTTTTCTTTTTCTATTTTTACTAAAATGAAAAGAGTTGTAACTCGTTCTAATTCCCAGAATCTCATTTTGTGTATCTATGTATAGTTATGATAATAAAATATAATATTAGTATACTTATCAATTTTTTAATAATATTAGGATTATGTAAAGGTACAAATGTTTCTGCTTAGATATTATAATATTTTATTTATATACGCAGTAAAAATTAATAAAAAAAAGAATTGGGACACACATTTTATTTTTTTTTTATTATCGTATTATAATATAATTTTGGGAGGGTATATTATACCTTAATTTTCTAAAATAATAAATTCTATAATCTTGTATATATGTATACCCTAGAAAGAGAATATTTCTCTGTTTCTTTTGACAATAAAAAAAAAACATTTTTACGGAAGAATATGTTTGATTCAAACATACAGATATGGTAAAAGAGAGCTTTTATCTGGAGATCAGATTTTTCCATATTTATGAAGGTCACCGGCGTTTCTTTAAATGGAATTTGATATTTTTGCCTGCGCACATAGAAGTTCTAAAGCGTATAAAGCATTTCAAATGCTTTAAATTTGTTTTATCGTGAATTTAAAAAAGAGGAGAAAAAAAAGATTTTAAGTTTACCGATACTATAAAAATTTACAAAAGGGGATCGTTCGATTATTCCAGATTTTAAATCTAAATAAGATTCTTTATTTATCAAATATATCCGTGCATATACGCAGAATACTAATTTAATGTTGTCATTTATTCATAATATTCACATTTTTCTATCTATAATAAATACATTTACAAAAGACTTAAAAAATAAAGAACACAACTTCTTACACCGTGAATTTCTATAACACGAAAAAATATGAGAATTGATTTCATTTAAAAATAAAATTTGTTTTTAATTATACGAATACCAATCATTGTATTTCTTTATTGGCAATTTTTCCTTTTCTTTTTATTTTTATTTTTATTCGAACATTTATCGAGAATAATTTTCGAAGAAAAGAAAAAATGAATTTTCTCAATATACTCATATCGAATATTAAATGTTTTTTGTGAAACTATTGTAAATAATCTCGAAAGAAAACTTTGAATATTCTTTTGTAAATGTTCAGAAAAAATTTGTGATATAAAAACTGAAGTCTACTCTTTATAAAGGTTGTTTCGTAATATATGAGATCATCGGGACTTCAGAAGTGGATAGGGGAAATGAAATCAATGAAAAAAGTTTCTATAAACATATGTTCCATTTGATTGTATTTCAAAGTTATATATCCACAATTGTGTTCCAATCATTTTTGACAGTTTATATTGATATAGAAGATATTTGAAATGAGCATTCACAATCAAGGCAAAATTTCAATTATTTCAAATTGAGCTTATTTGAATTCTTTATCTACATATATATTACTTTATTCCTATAATCATTTACTGATAAATGAATATCAATATAATCACGTGTATTTATTCATATGATAATTACTCGTAATATGTGTTTATTGAAATACGAAATTACTGAATTATTAGAATTGGTATAATTTAGAAACAAGTTCAAATAAGATTCATATTTCGTTTTTTATTGATATTGGGGTATTAATGAGGAGGAAAAAATTAAAGGTTTGAGAAAAATATGCTTTGACATATTACTATTGATAATTTTTACAAAGTAATGGCTACAAAATTAGATTTCTTATGGCACCTTCATGCCAAATAAAATAGATATTCATAGAAAAGCTGGACCGAGGACTCTAAATAACTGAATTGATAGAATAATCGTCCGAAAAATGGAATATTGTAAGTTACTCGTACATAGAATCTTAATTTAACATTGTCATTTATTTATAATATTCACATTCTTTCATATACTTTTATATATAAATACGTACTGAAGAAAAATAAAGAATTTATTAACCCCTTGGCCTATAACCACGAGTCTGACTCGTGGTAAAGAATTTGTGCCATAAGCTAAAACCACGAGTCCGACTCGTGGTGAGTAATTTATGCATAAGAAGATGCCGCGTATTTTTAGAACGCGTTATTAAAACAAGCGATTGGAGTTATTCCACATCGAATATTTTTCCTTTGTATTGTAACATCAGTAATTGTGGTTTTTATATTCGTTTTTAACGAAATTGCATGATCTTTTACTTTAGTTGCCCGTAAAGCTTCGTTACTTTCACACGTTTCAAATTGTTATTGATTCATTATCTACTCTTTGAAATAATAAATTATTATTTTTCAACTGATCAATTGGTTATGATTCAATCCCAGACGTCTTAAAATTACTATTTGTACCTAAAAATTGTTTATTTTTTTCACAATTTCTTTCGTTTCATTGAAATATATAATATATGTCATGAAAAGTATATATTTTGAGCCAGTTCGGGTATAGGGCTGAACAGTTGAAGAATGGCATGGCGCGCGACGACTCTCTTGTTTATTATGGCTCGCACAATTGGCAGATATCGTGTAGGCCAAGGGATTAATGAGGGGGAAAAAATTAAAGGTTTGAGAAAAATATGCTTTGACATATTACTATTGATAATTTTTACAAAGTAATAGCTACAAAATTAGATTTATTATGGCACCTTCATGCCAAATAAAATAGATATTCATAGAAAAGTTGGACCGAGGACTCTAAATAACTGAATTGATAGAATAATCGTCCGAAAAATGGAATATCGTGAGTTACTCGTACATAGAATCTTAATTTAACATTGTCATTTATTTATAATATTCACATTCTTTCATATACTTTTATATATAAATGCGTACTGAAGAAAAATAAAGAATTTATTAAAAAAGAAATCTATGATAACTATACACAGTGCATAAAAATAAAGTAAGAGTACCGGAGTCAATGCAGTGTGAACAAAAGAATCTGTTTTTAAAACGTCTGTACCTTTTGCGTCTTAAAGTGAACTAACTGCACAATAAAGAGAGATAGAAAAAGAGAGAGAAGAACAAGAACAAGAAGAAAAAAGGTAGATTCAGTTGCCTGAGGCAAAAGTTACGTCCAGTTTTCTTTTCCTTGAACCATCCGGATGGTGGTGGGAGTGGGTGGTTGGGGGTGGGGTGGTTGGGTAGTTGTTTCGCGTGGTCTTTTTCCTGTTCATAAAATTTTCCGTCGAGTAAATCGTTGGCCCCGACAAGATCGAGAATGGAAGTAACGAAATAAAGGAAGGAAAAAAAAAATGAATAGATGGATGATCGAGCTGGGATAAAAGCGGAAAGAGAAGAAGAAGAAGAAGAGGGTGGTGAGGGGGTGGAAAAGAAGAAGAAGAAGAAGAAAAGAAACTATCGCTGACGGCTACCATCCAGAGAGAGAGAGCCCAATTAACTTAGATTTGAACTATTATGTTACTATAGGCGTGTTATAGCTTTCGCTACAATCGGAAGTCGAAACAACGAGCTTATTGAGCTACGTTCACAACCAGGAGGTGGATTCGTTAACTCCTTGGGTCTTCGTTATTCGTTCTGATTCCGATTCCGATTCCGACAACGTCTAGAAAGAAAAACGCGTTTTTGTTCTCCTTCCGATCGGTTGGCAGGCAAGAAGTAAAACAAGAACAAGAGATTTACTTAGAATCGAAAGCAACCAAAAAATTATCCACATCTTTCTTTCTCACTCACTCTCCTTCTTCTTCTTCTTTCTTTTTTTTTGGATATGCAAGATCAAGTAATCAAGCATTAATTGCATCTCACGTTTCGTATCGGTCTAGGAACAAACGTCTTGTTTGTACGAAACCTAACTCAACAAGTACGATAATTAACATTACACGGGTTTCTTCTTCTTATTCTACTAACACTATTACTACTACTACTACTACTACTATCTTTACAATACTATTTCCTCTTAGTAATCCACTGGGAAGAAACGTGGAAACTTTTTCTTTCGAATACGTACGAAGTGATATCGATTGACAATAAACTAGACGAGACAAAATA